AGATAGATAGATAGATAGATAGATAGATAGATAGATAGATAGATAGATAGATAGATAGATAGATAGATAGATAGATAGATAGATAGATAGAGAGACTGAACAGTGTAATATCTCTGATTTTTTCAATGCAATCTCACCTTGCATACAAAAATATTTTTATTTTAATCTTTGTTTAATCTGTTGATCTGTATGTTGTTTCTTGTAGTTACAAAATAAATCCAGCAGATGGTAGTAATGTAACAGAGAAAGGTTAAGTTTTTCCACAAATAAGCCGAATGTAAATTTAAACACTTGAGAATCCCACCACGATTAATCACTAGCACCTAAGATTGTAAATGTCCTCTGTCAAAATAAATTTGAGCATCATTTATTTAAGGACACAATATAGGACAATAATCCTCAAAATGAGGGAAAAATATTGCCAAGTCTTCATTAGACTTTKAACTTTACCACAAAGTTAAGTTCATTTCACTGCAGGAGTTATATTGCAATAATCTCTGAATAATACAAATACTAATATTAATACTAATACTATTAAAAAATACTAATAACAGGGCTAACTACTTGCGCATTCTCTAAGTGCAACAGGAGAGCATKGCGTGGGGGGCGGGGCTAAACCACGTAGCCGAACGCTGGTATTTTCTAGAGGCTTCATGGCGTTTCTGCACTCACAGAAGCTCGTGCAGCTTCGAGCAGCAATAGCAGCACTCTGAGCTAGCTGCTCGATTGTTTGTATACCTGTTAAAATCAGCCTTCACGGTATTGTTTTTGTCAGAGAACAGATCTGAGCCAGTGACACTGGAGACGCAGAAAGTGGGAGGTGGCTGCTCAGCTGACGAGAAGAACAGAACCTAAAAAAAAAACAAGGAGGCTATCTGAACAAACTCAGCTAAAACGAGCCGAGTGAAGCTGCTGAACCGTTAGCTGGACCAAAGACAACGGTAAGTGGTTTGCTAGCTACTACTAGCCATAGCTTACGGAGCGCTAACATAAACAGTTCACTCGTGTCTAACTTTACCATAAATGGAAATGTGCCTCAGAAATATCAGATAAATAATAACTGCACTACTTGAATAGCACAGCACCTGTGCCTCCGAGTACATCTGCTGGCTTTCAGCTTGTTTACTGATGTCAGCAGCAGTTGTCAGATTCCTCTGTACTAGAAATAACGCTGTACTACTTGTGTGAGCATTTGTCCCTTCCAGAGGGGGCTAACAGAAAGTTAACTTTAGTCATTTTGCCTGAGTTTGGAAGTCCCCCCCTCTGCTCTGAAGCTGCTGCAGGCAACTAATAAGATCGGCATGCTGGCTGGCAGTAGCTATTCTAGAGGTGCTGACAGTATTCAGAGTAAGTAGTTTTACTTTTATAAAAGTGTGGGCTTACTCACATTGATTGACCACACAAGTTGCTTTAGTAAAGGAGACAAATATGTAATTAAAAAAAGCTTCGTTCTTACAAAAATTTAAATAARACACTATACTTAATAAGCAAAGAAAACACTCTAGTGTGTTGTTTTTGAATTCAACATGCATTGTATCTAAAATGTTTCCAGATTATATTATACACAACCATATGACTATTACTTTTGGCTACAACCATTAGAATAATGAGTGTTTAGTTTGTGGGACATTTAAGTAAAACAAAAGAAGCGTTGTGTTCAAAGTTTGCATTTATCACACTCAGTGTTCAGGCATTGGTCTGACATGTTGCTTGTGTTTTGGGACATTATTCAAATAATGCTATGGTTCTGCATCAGCTCAGAGACCAGAACTGACCAAATGCTTGTGTTTCAGGGTGGTGTTTCGAGGAGTGACAGGAAGTGACATGGTTGATTACTATAACATCCTGGGAGTTCCCAGAACAGCCACGCAGGATGAAATCAAGAAAGCGTAAGTATCTTTAGATTATTTATAATCGTTGGAATCATCCCAACAAATTAAGCATAAGYTGTATTTAAATATACATTTTTATTTACCAAACTATATAAGGATTAARAACCGAAAGTGTTATGTTGCTGATAGTTTTAGTTTTATTAATGTTAACATTATCATCATTCGGAAACAGACTTTAGACTATTAGGCATCCTGTTTTTTACTTTACTTTGTTTATCTTGATTTAAACCTGCTAAACTTGCAAACCAACCTTGAAAATATTGAAACACAAAACACTGTGGTTTCATACACTAGAACAGTGTTTCCCAAATTTGGGGTCGGGACCCAAAGTGGGGTCCCGAAACATCAAGGTGGGGTCCTGAAAAATTTTTCTGAATTAATTACATTTTTGCCTTAGTTGTTACAAAGGAGTGAGGTTAGTGTATTTAAAATGGATAAATGTAGTATAAAAWTATTGTTACTATGCCCATGTTTAGTTGACCCGATACAAATGTTTATCATCCAAAAACAGTTGGGGGCACAGGTCTCTGCTACTGTTATTTTGTGGGTTAAAAGCTGAAAAGTTTGGGAACCACTGCACTTTGGTTCCCAAAGTTGGGCTTGGGTCCCAATTATGGGTCATGAAGCATCTTGGATAATCTCCAGAAATCAATTTAAGGGTAATAAAATAATTGCTGATGTAATATTTTCCCTATAACTATTGCAAAAGCACACAAAAATTTATAAATAAGTATTTACATTTGTGTACAAGCTGTTTAGATTGTCAAAAAGCCTGTGTTTTTAGGGTTATTAACAAAGTTTGTGTACTCAGACCAGTAATATTTGGGGTCACAAGTTTTTGCCATGGATATTTTCTGGGTCATAAGATAAAAAGTTTGGGAACCACTGTACTAGAAACAAACTTCGAAGGTCCTTTGGGTTTTTCTTTAATCTTTCCTTCTTTTGCTTTTAGTTTTTGAACTGTGCTTTAATACTTTAAATAGTTAAATAGTAAGTGAATGTTCTATACTTGTGCAATTGTATAGCTAATGTTTATTTATWTGCAGGTACAGGAAACTGGCTTTGAAATGGCATCCTGACAAAAATCCAGAAAACAAGGAGGAGGCTGAAAGAAAATTCAAAGAACTGGCTGAGGCCTATGAAGTCCTGTCTGACAGTATGTCACCAAATGCAATCATTTTATGTAATTTGTTGGATAGATATATTTGTTTTTAAAGAGGTGTTGGAGGTTTACAATTATCTAAATCTAAATTTTGGTTAGTTTTTTACCCAAAGTTCAGTTAATTTGTCATTTGTCAATGTTGAAACAAACAAACAAAAATATAATAATAATAAAAAACAATAACTACAGGAATGAGTCCTAATATTAACATTAATACAATTTTTTTCCACCTATTTTCATTTAATTTCCTGCTTCCCCGATCATCAACATTGAGTCATAACATGAGACCAGAAACATTTAAAGTTTAGTTTTGGTTTTGATTATTGAACTAACACACATCTGCTGTTTCTATGTTGGAGATTCACGTTACAACAAACTAGTACTGATGTCGGACTCTCTTTTTATTCTTTTTAACAGAGAGCMGACGTGAAGCATATGACAGATATGGTAACGACAGAATGCCACACTCAGGTAATTACAAGCACAGTCACAGTAAAACAGATAGATGAAACAGTCAATTATAGCTCAAATTTACAAATATTTTTATGTTTCAATTGTCCTTTCTCTCTTTTTTTACTGACATATCACTACGTCTGTCTTTATTTGACTTTTTGCCCTATTTTTCTTTTCCATCCTCTGACTCTCATCTTTATTTTGCAGGTTCCTCCACCACAGACTTCTCAGATTTCCCAGGGTTTACATTCACATTCCGCAATCCAGATGAGGTGTTCAGAGAGTTTTTTGGGGGACAGGATCCCTTTGCTAGTTTTTTTGGTAAGTCGTGCAAAAAAACACAACAGACGCCAAGTTTAACTGTTCTCCGCCCAGTAGCACTGACTCTATTTTATGTTTTGTAATTTTTTGTACGCTAAAAGGTGAAATTTGTGTTGCATAAAATCGCCTGAGTGCAAAAATGACCCTCTCAGAATAAAACCCTTTACTCTAATCCTATTATCTGTTGAAGTTGCCGATTGAAATATTTTAACATCACTCTCTGTATTTTATTCAGATGACTTTCCAGCTTTTGGAGGCTCTTCACGTCCTGGCCCAAGTCGATTTTTCTCCTCTCCTTCAGCTGGAGGTAAACATTTAAAGGTGTTGAGAAGTGATGTGAACAGTGTGCAGCTTCATCACATTTTAATCAGACTTGACAATTCATGTAGTACTTCAAAAGCTTCTGCTGTTAGGTTTCTTTTATGCAAAACTACCCACTCACATTTTCACTTTGTTTTAGTGAAAAGTAACTGTTACCTCCATATATAAAAAAAAGCTCTATATATCAAAAATAAATTTGACTTTGCATAGTAGCCTATCAAAATGCTTTGAAATTGACCTCTTTCTCTTTAAGAACCTCCTACCGTTTGAGACACTCCCACTTCAGGTCTTCACAACAATGCTTCAGGGGGTGGGGGGGTACTTTGTAGGGCAGTGGCTCAGCTGGAGACCAGGGAAGAGTTTTATGTAAATAGGTGGAGCTTTGTACAAATGGGTGGTGCTTTGAACCGGCAAGCTTTAGGCAGCCCCAAATGGCTGCCACAGGAGATTCTCAAACATGCATGAATGAGTCAAAGCAACACTCTGGGTATGTTTTTGATGAGGGGATGACATAAAAACACGATATAAAGCTAAAAAAAGTTGATTTTGCATAATAAATAAAAACGTAACGTATAAAATGTGATCCATCATGTCGAAATGAGGATTAAATCAAATTTGGTCAAAATGATCTAATTACATTTTCAAATTCCTGTCTTTAAATGCTACATTTTGATACCTGGATCATTCTGATGTCTTAAATGGATTTAGAGATATGACTTAATTTGTCTTGTTGGTTATGGTAATACATTACTTTTTGGTCTGAATCCTAATTTTTATGGACTTTTGGACTTAATCCTCATTTCGATGTGATTGGTCACAAATAACATGGTACTCTCTTTGCACAGAGTGAGAGTCTGCAAAAATTTGTTACACTGTTTCATTTTTTCCCCCTTTGTTCTCTAATCCTCTTTTCTGCAGTTGAATTTAGCTCGTTTTCTTCTTCCTTCGGTGGTCTGGATGGGATGGGCAGTATGGGAGGAGGGATGAGCAACTTCAAATCCRTTTCTACTTCCACTCGCATTGTCAATGGGAAACGCACCACCACCAAAACGTATGTGAAATCTCCTGAATCGAGGCTAATTGAACCGAGGAAATTGTTGCACAACAAAGAATTAAAGCCTTGTAGTGTACTTTCAGTGTACTGTAGTTGTATTCATTGATGCTTATAAGATATTGGTTGATTGATTGCTGAGGCCTTTATTATTGTACAGAGCACAATGCAATTACATTTAAGAACACCCATTCAAAAAGACACACATGACAAAAACATGGGGAAACAGGTGATCAGGTCATGCARCAACCAGCAGGGGTCACACCACCTTTTAAATCGTGTGGACCTTTATCATTGATTACAAAAGTCTGATTAATTTTATAGTTATTTCAGTTTCCTTGAGTGTTCTATGTCTGTAAATTACTGACCCTAACAACAATTGTTGATGTCTCATTTACAGAATAAAGGAGAATGGGCAGGAGAGAGTAGAGATTGAGGAGGATGGGGTGTTGAAAAGCGTCCTGATTAATGGTAAGGAAATACACTCTGGTGTTGTGGAGTTTTAAGAAAAACAGAGAGAAGTCGTGTAGATTTTCTGACCACTTGATGTTTTCAGGAGCTCTAACATTTATTTTAGTCCTTTTATTTTCCACAGAAGTGGTTAAACTTTAGAAAAGTTTCCAGCAAGTTCATGCTGAAGTTAAAGTGTCTTTCTGCATGTTGTGTTTGCTAAAATTATAACCAACAGTTTTGGTACTATAGTGGTTTTATTCCTTTATTTATGCATTAAATTGACTAGAAAGTATATTGGCTTTCTAGGTATTTTTATTGGGTTAATCGTAAACATTATTGCTGCTGCTGCAAACCCTGTCGTACTCGACATATCATGCTAAATATTTTGGCATGTTGCTGTATCTTTAGGCTAAGACAGCTGTGTTGTTGTTGTGTGTTTGTCCAGGTGTGGAGGATGAAATGGCCCTCGCTCTGGAGCTTAGTCGAAGAGAAGACCAGCCCCATCAGTCCTCTCAGAAGCCACAAATCCAGAACAGACCGGCGGGCATGTCTGACAGATATCGCCCAAGTCCTTATTCTGCACCAGCACAGCGGTCATTTAGCGCAGCCCCCGGCTACCAGTACATGGACCCGCAAGGAAACGAGGATGACGAGGAAGATGAAGACCTTCAGATGGCTTTGGCATACAGCCTGTCAGAAATGGAAGCTCAGCAGAGAGCCAGTGCCACCGACTCCATATCAGGTGCTGGGGGTAGGGGAGGAGCCAAACATGACCAAACTGTGGGCTACAAAAAAGGGGAGGTTGCTAATGGAAAACATCAGAATTTGTCCAATGGTCACAAAATAGTTGCAGGGGGGCAAGATGGTGGGAGCCAGTTAAAAGTGGACTTGGGGTCTGGAGATAGTCCGAAAACAAAAAGAACCAGGCAGCCGGCTTGCTCCTCTGAGTCAGCTGCCAGCGCTAAACTGCYGAGCAGTTACAGTGAAGAAAAATCACAACCTGCAGCAAAAACCTCCAAGGACCCCTCAAAACAGAAAAAGTGTGGATGTGTTGTGTGCTAATTTACTTTTTAATAAACTTAAATCAGTGTCGGCAAACACCCACTCTCTGGGATTGCTCGACTCTTTGAGGCTGCGCCTAAATAAGGAAAGTCTAAACACCCCAAAAAGGAACATACTTGAAGCTTCCTTTTTGGTGTTTTTTTTTAATGAACAGCCTCGATAAATCCACATGATTTGTTAAAAAGCTAAAGGTAAAACAAAATGTTTTGTTTGAGGAGAACAAAGAAAGTGTAGCTTTAGAATGGACATGAATGTGCCAAATGTTTTTCTAAACTGAAAGGAGTGACTCTAAAGGTAGAGTTAGGTGGGAAGGACATGATCTGGGATGAGTTAGGATTTTTGTTATTATTGAATTAAGTGAGAACAATCTGGAATGGACTTGAGTTTGGGATGGATGCTGTATGTGAGAAAATGGGAATGTGTTGGACATTTGTTTGTTGAGATACAAATTAGTTTAAGGCATTACAATAATACAATGTGTGTGTTAGGGTCAGCTGAAACCCTGCCACAGAACCTTCTCTTTCAGATTCCCCGGCAAAACAAAAGTGACCGAGCTGTGTCACACACATGCAAGGCTGGAACAATCCACTGACATCAAAAACAGACCACTGGGTGATTTTTATGGCCCAAACTTTGATTAAAGAAGTCCTTTATATGCAAAAAATATATATTTATTTCTGGAAAAATGTAGCCATGTAAAGCACATGARTCTTTATTTTAAAGTGCTATAAAATCAAATATTAAAGCACTTTCAGTAACATGACACTACCTGTTTGGAAGGAGGCACTTTATTAACTCTTGTTTCGCACATTTAAAACTGCATCTTTATTTAACAGAATAGTTAAACAACAAACATATGGACTTTTTTATGTGGCTCTAAGAAAAATATCAAACCACAAAAGGCTTTGGCTCAGTGGGCATCCTTCAACTGAAGGTCCCTGGTTCAGTTCTCAGCTTATCTACATGACATTTTTGTGTGGGATGAGCAGTGATAAACTTACACAAACATACTGTACATAAGTATTTCTGTGCACTTCTCTGGCATTGTAAAAACAAGCCAAAACACTGAGATCCACAGAAAAAGAATCCAGCTGTTCTGGAAAGAAAAACAGGTTTGTGTATGAAAGTGAGAAATTCGGTACTAACTGGTGCTGCCGAAGAAAAACCCAAACATGCCTTGTTTCAGACCTTTAGTGAGGTGAAAGTAATGTTTTTATTAACTTTGAAAAAGGAATGTTGTTTTTAGGTAAGAATACAGCTTTTATTAATAAATTGGAGGTATTGTTTTATGGGGTGGCGTTTGTAAAGTTACAGTCAAAAATTACCACCAATATTTTTGTTTTTATTTAGTCTTTTATAAGAAAAAAAGAACAGATTTATTTTTCAAAGTCAATTTTTCACCATATGATTCATACATTTATAAATGTCATAGTTTATACACTAAATATTTAACTTACAAATTAAATATTTAGTCAAGCTACTTAATATTTGTGACTTGCTAGCTAAATATTTAAGTTTCAACCTAAATATTTAGCTCAAAACTAAACATTTAAGTCAAGTTAAATATTTAGCTTGTTAACTAAATATTTAATTTGTAAGTTAAATATTTAGTTTATAAACTGACATTTATAAATGTATGAATCATATGGTGAAAAACTGACTTTGAAAAATAAATCTGTTCTTTTTTTTCTTATAAAAGGCTAAATAAAACAAAAATATTGGTGGTAATTTTTGACTGTAACTTTACAAACGGCACCCTACATTGTTTGTGCCAAACCAGAATCATTACCTGTATTATATAGTTGTGAACAGACACATTTTTGTTACTTGTAAAAGACTGACTTGTCTAAAGGGATTTTTCATTACAAGCAGCACTCGTCACACTTATGTTTGTGTGGTGCTCATTCAGCAATAAGTTTATTTGATTGTAATACGTATATWCGTACATACCTTGTTTTAAAATGCACGTTTGTTGCTTTCATTGTTCATATAATTATCACTGGCAAAAAAGCAACAAAACAGCTGTGGTGAATCAAAATGAAATTGATTTTTTAAATTCTAAGTTACTTATCATTAAATTATATTTCATTGTTAATGATGTGGAGAGAAACAATTAAGGGAAAAAAAGCAGAGAAGTTATTTGATAACTGATCAGCTTGCATTATTTGTACTGCGCTGCATTGTGTTCATGTTTTTATCTTTGCAAATTGTTAAATGGGAAGAAACTAATAAAGACTGAGCCTAAAGATGAGTTGCCATTATTATTTTTTATATGGCCGAAACTGTCTTGTATTATTGAAACCAATATGACACCAGCACTCATATTATGGTCTTATTTGATGACAAAATTAATTCTGCAAAAACAAAACAAAAAAAAGTTCACTATGTTTCTGATATGTTGCAGAACCCCATAAAAGAAACTTATTTATTCTGGTAGCATGTTTTCGGTTTAGATTTGTCTGACACTTCCTGCTTCCTGTTTCAGAGTCAGACTTCAAGGCATTCACAAGCTAACCTGATTGGCTCGCTGCTCTGCTCATAAGCCCAACAAGGAGGTAAAGAACCAGTGTGACTCTTAGGCATGCTAAACTTTTTGTCCTCCCTTAGAAATTGTGCAGATTACATCAGAATATTCCTGTATATAAGCGTGATAAACTTCATTTTTCTTTTACATTTTTATTACAGGTCAAAGATCAGTTTGCTACGTTGCACTTTCTCTCTCTGATGGCGCCTACATGTTGAATGTCTCTTAAAAATATATTTATTAGGAATGTATGTGTATGTACTGTAGGTCAGAATGCAGCAAAAAACGAAAATGTGTTTAAAATGTAAAGATAAAATGTCTGCTTAATTTAATGTTTTACTATGTGAAAACATGTACAAAACATGTTGATTTTGTACAAAGGAGAACACAACTGGAATGAAACTGCTGCATCAAAGAAAATTCTGAAATATTTTCATGTTTATTGCTCTCATTAAATGTATTATAGTTTCTTAATGTTGCAAGAAGGAATTTAAAGTTAACGATAATWAAAAAAAACTTTAAAGATGGTTTAATCACATGATTATTTTATAGGGCACAACTGAACACAAGGAAAAACAGCTTTTTCTGCTGCATCACATCACAAATTTATTTAGTTCAAGTCAAAAATACATTTTTATAGATATTTTCCATTTGTCTGCTACATAAAAGAAACACAGTCATCAGGATGGATTATATACATTAATCACAAGGTCGCACATTGAGTAAGATGGTAAAAAATACAATTAAAGTAAATTTGTATACAAAAATAAAGAGATATTGGTAATGTGTACGTCATGGTCAATGTTTAGCGCTGATTACTTAAGAAGCAGAACTGGAAGCGAACACTTAAATTTGCAGGACAAGCCTTTCAAAAACAAAAAGGAAAACCAACACTTGACAGCAGTATACACATTTCATCTGGACACAAAACACCACATCCAAAGTTTTAAAATTAAGACTCCTCTTACTTTGTTACAGTAAGATGAAGGTCATACATATTTGGTCTTTTAACAATATTTTAACTTTGATCCAATTGTAACATCGGTGTTAACAGATTGGTGTATCCAGTAAAGATAAAAAATACTTTACCAAGGGGCAAATGACAACAAATCACTTTTTTTTTTCATACAGAGGTATATGCTTTTCAGTTTGACTGTGACCATTTAAATATTCTGCCCTCAGGTAAGGTCTAGTGGGGGAATATTATCATTTCATATTTACACAGGCACAGAGGTTTGGATTCAGTTCTGATAACTGCATCCTTGTCTCAGCTTATTTTTTTAGCGAGCAAAAATCATAAATTTGTCAAAGTTCCTGCAATGGTTTTATGGTGGAAAAAACAAAACACTGCACACTAAAATCTGGTAACAGATCAGAGTGTGGCTGATCCAAAAAAAAATATTTTTTGGTTCTGGACGTATGATATGTGGATATTCCTTATGAATGTGTTCTGTGGGTTGTTTAGTGTGCCTGCCTGCATCTTCAGTGTGTTCCTCAGCTGCTGCATCTCACTGTGGCAGAGCTTTCAAGATGGCATTCACCTCCTCAGCAACGGCTGTCAGCGCGAACTCAAACTGGTCCTGGACAGGGAGAGCAGGAGGAAGCGAGACGTTTGGGTCATGACAAACTCGTGCAGTCGTGCTGAAACATTGCACTTGCGCACACACACAAATAGTACCTTGGTGCGAACCAGACCGGGCCTCTGGTCTCTGATGTGCTCCAGTGTGGCTGCTATGTCGATCTCTTTCACTCCTAATGACAGAARCAGTGCAAACATTTAATAAGAACAAGGAGGTTCTATAGAACAGCTGGAGTGTGCAGAAACCACGTGACCGTGTGATTGGCTGGTGAAGCTAATGGCTAACGCTAAATGGGCAAAACTCTGGATTTTCCATTACTGTACATGTTGGCAAAAGAGCAGAAAAAAAGGACTGATGATGTAGAAATTATTAAAACTATTAATAATAATATCAACCCAATTATTAATATTTTACAGTTTATATGATCTATCTAATGTCTTAAATAATGTCAGA